TGCGACACGCCATCAAGTCGTGCGACCCAGAGAGGACAATGACGGCCACGAATGCGATTTTGGCCGAGTGCACCAACATCCCGCTCGAGCGACTCGAGAACGAAGGTGCGACGCTCGTAAGTGGCGCCAGCGTCCGGAGCAAGCTCGAGGGTATCCTCGTCAAGCCATCGGGGCGGCTGCCTCCCACCGACACGATGTAACCCTAATCGCTATCGTCAACCGACACGAGCAGAGACGAGGTGGCTTGCGCAATCGTGTCATGGCTATGTGGATACAAGTGAGTCTTTACGTAGAGTACGACTACGCTATCATACTAGCGAGAATGATATCGCAACCACCACTCCGTCCCACGTCCCGTTGTTGTGGACTCACTACAGTACCAAGGATACGCCCGGATAGCATTTGAATGGTTCTCGCGAAATGGATAGTTCGAGTTTGGATTCTTTTAGAAAAAAACAGCTTTGGATTCGTGTCGGGTATTCAGGGCATAGCATTATTTCCTGTTCACTGTCTCAAAGTGAAGTTGCACTGGATTTTCGACTCGACAGGTATACAACCCACGGATTTTACGCCCTTGGTACCGTATAAATCGGTCGCCTCCGTGATTTCTTGCTGCCAATGTTGACTCGTCGGCGCGTCAACCATGCCGGCGTGCTTTCTCGTGTTACTACACTTAAGAGATAAGTGTAGCTCACTACGTTTAGTAGAGGACTACGCGCGAACGTGCTTTGGTCAGCCCATCCTCCTCAGCGATGCCCCGCAAGCGATCAACGCCGGCGCGCTGGGAACGGGTGGTGCGTTGGGTGCGGTTTCAAGCGCACTTCGGCCGAGACGCTGTCTTGAAGAGTGGGACCTTTTCCTGGATTCATGAACTCGAGGACTCGCATCGATCCTCGCCAGCGGCATTTTTGCATTTGCCAAGTGGCGATGGCGAGCTTGTTGCTACCACCGTCTTTCACCGCCGCGTCAACCGTGACCTACTGTGTCCGCGGCCACACGTTTCGCACCATGTACACGGTCGAGCTGCACTGCGCCGCCACGGCACGTACTTGGAAGTTGACGACCCGGTACCGCGACTGCATGGCTTTTCAGAGCGCGCTGGACGCGTACTTGCCGTCGTTCCTCGGGTCCCGTCGCGCGGCCGAGCAGGATAACTTGGAAATATTTAGAGATAGGGCAGCTGCCTGTGTATACGTGCATGTGTCGCTTCCATGCAGCGCTAAGAGCAGCGTCGCAGCGCTGCATGATCTTTGCAGACTCGCACATACAGTCATTGGAGTCATTTTACGGCGAGAGGACGGAGGTGACGGCACTGGGAAAGGCAATGTGGCGCCCGTAAGAACCAGTGCGATAAGGCACATACCCAGGTGGCCATCAAAACGCTATGGACAATCTATGCAGCCGCGTCCGCTATCAGCAATACGTTGCGGTGACTCACAGGCCAAGCGATCGACACAGCCTCGCGTCTCTCCGTCGCTCACGCTGTCGTCTCCTGTCGCCTTGCAGCGTGGGATGCAAGCGCCTGTCAACGCGGCCGTCTCTACTGCGGTCACGAACGTTGCCTCGTCGTCGATGGTCCAAAAAGAGGTGTTTTAAATAACATACGACGAGACGACTCGACTACACTAAACTACAACGCGACGTCGTCGGTGGCCACCGACTGCGGCGCGTAGAGCCCGATGACGCGGTCGGTGACCGAGCGACAGAGAGGGCACGTGGGCTGCTGGGAGAACCAGTCAAAGATACACTCGGCGTGGAACGCGTGGCCGCATGGCAGCTCGACCGACGGCGACGTGTGCAGTTCGTTGGTACAAACGACGCAGTCGTCGTCGTTGTCGCCGTGCTGCGCTTCGCGGAGCTCCATGTCGCAGAGGCAGTCGGGAATCTCGAGGAACGCTTCCATGCACGCTTGGAGGCGGTCAAAGAGCGGCCAGTGCAGCTGGTGCTTGTGACGGTAGACGCACATTTCGGTGCGCATCTCCATGAGGCTCCATAGGAAGACGTTGAGGTGCATTGCGCGCTCCGACACGTTTTGGGACTTGCGCTGAAACCACTGCTTCTTCGGAAACTTGATGCGCAAGAGCTTCTCGACGACCGGGACCATGATCGTGTTGGAGAAGGCCGTGAACGCGCGGAGCTGCTCGCGAAACAAGACAAAGTCATGGTACCGCTTGTGCGTCGTCCACTGCAAATGCGTGAGCGGGCACGTGACCGTGAGCGAGTAGAGCGTGTACGTGCGACCAGCTTGCATCGCTTGCGACGTGCGCACGTGCGACGGCGGCGCCGGGGGCACGCGCGACAGATGAAAGTTGTTGGCGTTCGGCTTGGGCGTCGCACAGGTGCTCGAGAGGCGCCATGCATCGGCCTTGATGATCGCACTGAGCGGCATGCGGCCAAATGAAAACTGATGCTGTCGATCGCTGCTGCTGCCGCGACAGGCGCGCCTCAGAACCTACAGGCCGACGATTGCATGTTTCTGTCCATGTGGGAGACCCTGTATCAAAAGTGTCTCGATGAAGTTGCACTTTCTGAAACGGCAAAGTGGCCGACAGGACGCGGTCTTGTGGCTCTGCGCTATAGCCTTTGCTTCATGTAGTGTGTTGCTTCCGCGGAGTGGCCGCCCTCGCATGCGAGGCTTTGAGCTGTGCGTCGACCGTCGTGAGAAGTGCAACGAGCGTGGTCCTGCCGCGATCGTTGCATGGCGGCGAGATCCTCAGCGCTGCACTCGTCAAAGGTGCTGGACTGACGCAACCGCTGCGCTCGTTAAAGTTGCTGGATTGATGCGATCGCTATCTACCCGGTACTGTGCTCAAGCGACGTACGAATACGGTGGTGCGACGATGGCACTCTGCGCCAGCAGGGGTATCGGGTATGGGAGAGTACGGCAACGGCTGCCACGAAACGTAGTCGCCGCCCGAGCACGCTGGCTCGTCGTCTTGTATACAGCCCTCAAGTGTTTGGTAGCAGCGATGCGATGACGAGAAATGAGCATACCGCGGGATCCCACGGCGGCTTCAAGAATCTGCGCCTCCAGCGTGGGTGTATTCCTTCGACACGGTGGATCCTTTGTGGGTACATGAACGGATGACACTCTAGTACGGTAGTAGCACCGAGCGAGCCTTCGAGATGCCTTGCAACGACGGCCATCGGACTCGGCCAGGCAACCTCTCGCCCTCGCGGGCAAAAGCGGCAAGGTAGCGACGAGACAGTCTTGAAAAGGACCGTGTGTGTCACAGTGCCACCTGGCCCCATGTTTCCGATTTGCAGTCCCACGTAAAGCATGGTGGCATCGCGACCACCCCACGTGCGTTGGACAGGCGGCGACGCCCCAGTGACGGCAAACCGGGATGGGCACCACGGGTACTGTTTGGTGTCCCGAGACAGCAGCGGCCGGGATGTATCGTATCGCGGTGCTTGTGTCCCGCATACTCGCAGGCCGCTCCACTAGACCTGCGTGCGACGACGAGCCGAGTAGCTGCAAGCCTCGCGCTTGCCACGACTCGAATATCATTTGCGAGGAGCTCCGCCGAAGATTCGGGCCAGCCGCGTCACTCTACTCAGTTACCAGCCCCCCCACGCCCCCCCCCGCTGCGGACGCTTCTACTCGTCCAGAGCCTCTACGGACGCAGAGTAAAGCGCGCAGTTTAGGTTATCTAGCGTACTAGCGTCCGAGGCAAACCGACAGACATGAAGGACGCCGTGCGATTCTCAGAGCAGACTTGAAGGAAAACCTGGTTTTGCGTCCGCACGAGGTTGCGCGTTCGATATCATTGCAATCCTGGATCGCTCAACCAAACCCGCCAACATGACCAACTACGTATCTTTGTCGCAAGCACCCAAAAGATGGCATTCCTTGGCGTAGATCACCGCGGCCATAGGTGGCGCGCTTCCGACACGAGGCTTTTGGGAGGCTAATAGGGGCACTACCGTCAAAGGTGTCAGTCCAGGACGCTCGCTGTCATCTCATCCCGAGCGCGATCTACGTCTCCGCACGTGGGTACTAGATCCAAGCTGTCGCCAACCTCCAGCGGTCAGCTCGGTACACGATGCGACGACGACGACTCGACAACGAGAAGCAGCAACGATAACGCAAGTCGAGCACGAAATGAGAATTTTGAGCCAGGCACGAACGCGTTTGCATCGTACTACGACGGACCGACTACAGTATGGAGTCAACGGTACGGCGGTAAAGACAACGGCGCAAAGCGGAAGGGGCTTGGACCCCCGCGTCGTCGAGTCGCCAAGACGTGTGGTCAGAACACAATCATGGGACGTGGAGGACGGCGGAGACGGCGCGAGTGTTATAGCCGCCCCACTACCACGTCGGACGCTCGAGTACTGCCTCTCGGAGCGCGATCGGTAGCTCAAGTGCTAGGTGGTAGGGTCGAGTACCATGGCGTCTCGTGTCCGCTGGGCTCAGCACAGTTAGCCCGATCGGCGAGCGCCAAGAATTGAACACTAGGAAGGCGACTTCGGGCCGCCACCGCGCCGAGAGCTGCCCGGTGGAGAAAGGTATCATTCCTCGAAAACTCTCTCGTGGGCAGTCCGAGTAATATGCGGTAGCGTTGGCGCAGTCGATGTTGGAAAAGTGGCGGCGGAGGAATGCAGCACGCCTCACACAAGCTCTCGAGCCGTCCCTCGCAAGGCGACGAGCTGGAGCGCTCGACTAGTCCATGGTAGTTGTCACTGTCGGTGGACGCGCAATAGCATCCAAGAGTATAGGCCATTAGGCAATGTCAGTGACCATCAAGTAGGTAGTTGGCGACGAGGACACGCGGGCATTTACGTCGTGCTCCTTCGCAAGGCTTTGCCCGGCTTGTGCGTCGTTCGTGGTATCGTCCACACAGAGCTCCACGACCTAAACCTACACACCATGTATAGCGTCACAGACTAGAAAAGGATGTAGGATACCGTTCATAGTCGGGCTGGTACGCCGCAAACTCGAGCGCCGACATGTGCACAACACGCACTGGCAGCTCGGTTTGACGCGGGAGGATCTGCAGCGTCTCGACAGCGTACGTGCTCGGCGTGCGCCACACAATGTCCTGCAAGAGCGACTGAATCGACGCCGCATGCGCTGCGTTGCGGGGGTCGATGTGGGTCCAGTAGGCTGGGTCGTCGAACGGCGGAAGAGCGAGGTACTTGGCGAGCCCTAATCCACAACGATATTTCGAGTCGTAAAATCTACAAGAAAACGAAATTACCGAGCAGATCGATGGGCTTGGAGAGCGGCGTGGCCGAGAGGCCCCAGCGCACGTGGGCGTCGAGCGCTTGCACCATCGACGCGGCCAACGACGTACCCGAGCCGAGAATGTCTTGCACTTCGTCGACAACGATGCGGTGCCATCGCACGTGGAAGAGCACCGAGGTGGCGCGCCCGCGCTCGCTCTGCTCGGACTGGAAGAGATGCCTACGCGCGCATGAGTGACCATGACAACGCCAGTGTTGCAACCACTCGAGGCCCATGTCGTGCAGCGAGACGAGCACGACGGGCGGCGGGCGCGACGCGTCGAACGACAGCTTCTCGTGCTTGCGCGGGTTGTACGTGAGCGTCGACCACGTGTCGGGTTCGAAATGCAGCGCCATCTCGCCGAGCCTAGAGCCATATAAGCCCGACGTCGGATGGCAGCCGCGTACCATTGCTGCGCAAGGAGCGCGTTGGGCACGACGATCAGCGTCGGGTCGGTCGACGGATGCAGCGCCAGACAGCTCAAGGTCGTGAGCGTCTTCCCAAGGCCGGGGCCGTCGGCCAAGACGCCGCCACGCAGCGACGACGTGCCGGCTTCGCGGCCGACCATCCAGCCGAGCGCAGCTTCCTGGTGCGCGTGGAGCGTCGTCGATGGCTTGAGGCGCAGAGGCCGCTGGCGCAGCGGTGTTGTGGCGCCACAATGCGCGCCGGTCGTCGACTCGAGGAGCTGCGCTGGGTTCATCGGCCACGGATCTTCTTGCCTTCTGGCCGTTGTCACCGACCCGAAGTTCGTACTTCGACGTGCACTCGTGCCTAATTAGGTATGAGTGATGGTCGTTTACCTCACTCAGGCAGAGTCCTAGCGCTAATTTGCGGATCCGGATACTGTGGTTGAGTGGCAAATGCCATTGGTCGAGCACGAGGCTTCCAACACCCAACTCTGTCCAGAAGTCGCGCTGTCCTCGCGCAGTAGCATGCGCTTGCATGCTAGCGTCGCGCACGACGTGCTTACTATCGATCGCTCCTGTGGTCACAGAAGCTGTATCCTTGTACGTGGAGCTGTCTTGGCATGTTCTAGCACAGTCAACGGCGCTAAGAGGGGTGTTTTTAGACGGATACATCCCGATGCCTGTCTACAGCAGGTGTCGACAGCTCAACCATGGACGCCACGAGGACCATGCTGGACGTGGAGCTGCGCATTGGCGACGACGCCCAAGAGACGCAGGTCGACGTGCTCACATACGAAGAGTGGGGCGCACCGCACCTCACGTACGACGAGTACCTCGACCGCGAAGACCAGTTTCGCGCGACGCCGTTTGCGGATGACGCTGTGACCGACTACGTCTTGGTGCCGACGTCGGACCCGAGCACGCTCGACCTGCGTGGGTATCTCGAGGTCTTTAAGCGACCGGTTGTGCTTCGCCCATGGAGCCCCTCGGCCGATCTCGTCTACCTCGATGGCTGGAGCGTCGCGTCCGTGTACACGCCGGCGCGTCACCGCAAGAAGGGCTATGCATCGGCCATGCTTGCTGCGTTCCTTGACCAAAAGAAAGACGCGTACACAGTGGTCAATCTCTACTCGGACATTGGCACGAGCTTCTACGCGGCGCGAGGCTGGGTGCTTGCGCCATCGTTGGAGATCTCGCTGCCCGCCACGATGTCAGCACCCACGCGCTTGCCTGTTGGCTGGACACTACGGCCGCTGGCCACACCCGCCGACCTCGAAGCCATTGCTACGCACGACCAGGAGCGTGTAGCCGGCCGGCTACAGCCGGGCGAGCTTGCTTTTCTGCTCTCGGCGGACGCGATTACCTTCTTTCACGTGCAGCACGCGTACTTTGCCCGCGAGCACTTGACGCTATCGAGGCTGCCGACGACGTTTGGTGTCGTGCTGCAAGACGACAAGTCCATCCTCGGGTACGTCGTTTGGGCCCACAACTTTGAAGAGAACCAGCTCGACATCCTCAAGTACGACGGGTCGACACCCGAGGTGTTTGCTGCGTGCCTTCCCACGCTGCACGAGGAAGCCGCGCGCTGGAATCTGGAAAACATTGTCCTTTGGCCCACAGACAAGATGGCCCTGCCGAACGACGTGCGTGCGCTGGCGACGCCCCGAAGCGACTCGCTCTCGATGGTGCTCGTACGTACCTCGAAGGACAGCGAACGCGAGCTGCCGCCGTATACGTGGGTTGCCAACGAAAAGTACTTGTATGCCTAAGCGGTCATACTAGCTCTTCTTTAACGCGACGTGAACACGGTTTGAAGCCGGCAAGTATGTCGGTGGACCTTCACCTGATAAACTCTGAGAAGCTCATGTGAAGTTCCCATTCTATGGAAGGACAGGGGGTACTATGATAAATATTGGCACCTTAATATGGCGCCTCGGCCTCTTGTCCTGGTCGCTCGATTTTCAGCCAATGAAAAAAATACTTTGAAACAGCCAATCCATGTGAGCTAAATCTGAATTTCTACCAATAACATGCGTCAGAGCTTGTGTGATCCGACAGCCGCTGACCTGGAGGAAATCTCAAACTGGCCAATCAGCGATGGGAAACGCCATCTGTTGGTCTCCAGCCGAGAGCCGCACCTCACTGTCTCGGAGTCGCTGTAAGTTACTCTGCACAGCATCTGGCGATTTCAAAAGCCGCTGGCCCAAAGTTACTCTGAATCGACCCTAAGTAGTCATTTATAAGGGGAAAACGAGTTGCCAAGCTCGTACGTGCAGGCATAAAAGACAGGAGGCAACGGTTGGTAAATGCAAAGAAATATTCAAAAATG